GTATTTCTTAATGTGCTTAGTATAATTTTCATCAATGAGACAATTTTTTTTGCTCTAACGTGTTATGTTTGAAAGTTACAAAATATTGACTGAAAATAGTTTTTTTCCCCTCGAATCAAAATCTATGCATTAATTCATCGAATCAAAATCTTTGCATTATTTTTTCTGCTTATTGATCTATGTGAGTATAACAATTCTAAGGTATATACATGTTTCTCATATCTCTCTCTTCTTCAACTCATACCTTTTTGTGGATATAATCTAATAAGCTGATGAAGAGATTTTTTTTTTCCAAATTTTTATTTATTTTAAAAAAAATTTTTTTTTGCTAATCTTTTTTCTTTTTTCTGTAATTTTTTCTTTCTTTTCTCTACATTTTAAACTTATTTTATGAGTTCTTTATGCTTTCAGCTTATGCATAGTAAATAAAACTTATTGATTTTCTTCGTTTTTTTCTTTTTGTGTTTTTTATGCTATATATATACAAATTATAAAATGTTTAAACAGTGTTTAATCAATTTATACGACCCATCGATGTGTAGCATTGTCATCGAAATGCATATGGGTTTTTATAAGAATGTTTTACCATTTGAGATTTTAAGCATCTTATTTATTAATATTTAGACAAACAGTGTATGAAACTTGATATTTTATATTTGTGTGAACTTTTAAAATTGTTTTCTTACCCCTTAAATAATTTGTTTTTTTTTTTAGACCACTAGAAAAATTTCATCTGAAAGATATTTCAAAGTGCCTCTCTGTTCTAAAGATTGTGATGAATGGTTTGAAGATTGTAAGAATGATTATACTTGTGTCTATAATTGGCCCAGAGAATTTAAACTTCAGAAAGGTATGCACTTATCAAGTCTATTTTTTTTTCTTCCTTTTTACAACTTTTTAACTCAATGAAAGAAACAAAAATAAAATAAAATTATTGAGCTGCTGCCACAAGTACNGATAAAAATTATACTAACTTGTTATATGTTTGAAAGTTTCAAAATACTAACTGAAAATAGTTTTTTTTTCCTTGCATCAAAATCTATGCTTTAAAAAAAATGTTGTGCTAATTTTATTCTACAGGTGATTTGGTTTTACTTTTCAGATTTTTCAAATGGAATAAATCTTATTTTTAAGCTTCTATTTTTCTGCTTATTGATCTATGTGACGATAACAATTCTAATGTATATACCTATTTCTCATGTGACATCATAAAATCTGGTATTTCTTCATGTACTTAGTATAATTTTTATCAATGAAACAATTTTTTATGCTCTAAAGTGTTATATGTTTGAAAGTTTCAAAACATTAACTGAAAATATTTTTTTTTCCTTGCATCAAAATCTATTTTTTTTTTCCTTGCATCAAAATCTATGCATTAAAAAAAATGTGCTAATTTTATTCTACAGGTGAATTAAGTTTTACTTTTCTTATTTTTATACTTCTATTTTTCTGCTTATTGATCTATGTCAGGATAACAATTCTAATGTATAGACATATTTCTCATATGTGGCACCATAAAATCTGGTATTTCTTCATGTACTTAGTATAATTTTTATAAATGAAACAATTTTTTTTGTTCTAACATGTTATATGTTTGAAAGTTTCAAAATATTAAATGAAAATAGTTTTTTTTCCATGCATCAAAATCTATGCATTAAGAAAAATGTTGTGCTAATTTTATTCTACAGGTAAATTAAGTTTTACTTTTCAGATTTTTGAAATGGAATAAGTCTTTTTTTTTAAACTCTTATTTTTAAACTTCTATTTTTCTGCTGATTGATCTATGTGAGGATAACAATTCTTATGTATATACATATTTTTCATATGTGACACCATAAAATCTGGTAT